AACGTAGTGTCTCCCAATACTGCTATTGGACCTGTATAAATAGATTGCTAAAACACCACTCTAAATGCTGTAACTGTAACAACTTTTAACACCCATTCTAACCTTCCTCATAACTGAGTGTTCACGTTCCTATTCAGTTGAAGGGTATATGTCTTTTTCATTATTTCAAACATGGTTCAATATTCATTTGGAAACTATTTACCTTTACCTCACATTTCTATCCAGCCAATGATCACAACCATAAGCTTATACGAGATGGCACAAGAAACATGACAAACAGTCAAGTAAAAATGAACGAATTGTAGACTGTTTGCTGGTTTAAATGTCACTAACCGCCTTTGATTTGATATCCCGAAACACAAAGCGCATTGCAGTGATGAGCTAACAACTGTAACCATTATTGACATTGGTGATTGACAGACTACAAAGTAGATGTGTAACCACCTTATAAAAACCGGGATGAACTTGTGCGCACCTAGTTATAAACGTCGAACAGTACCTGATAGTTACAATAGGTTGAGACCATCAAGAAGCAATATGTGTAACAACGTAAAAACCTAGTCGAAAAGAAACAGAACATATTATTAAAGGTTCAGAGATGATTTAACTGATCATTATAATGATAGTTTGTGCTGTAACATTCGCAATAATGTGTACTGTAGGGGATGGAATGAGTACCCAAACGGAAATAATTTCGTTACATAAGGCGGCCCTGTATTGGGGATAACCGCGTCGTTGAAACTGGTTTTGATTTTGCATTTCGCTGATCTGGAAAACACACTAAAAAAGTGCATTAACCGCAGGCGGAAGATGTAGAGGAGCAGCCGAGTAAGGGTGCTTGTTTCGTTGTCCCACGTTTGCGTAAAAGAGAAAGTGGGATTTTAACTTTTCTTATTGTATAGATGTAAAAATGAAACCTGATGAAATTGTATTCAAATATTATTGAGCATGTTGTGTACATATGGAATACCTTGATAAAAGTCCACTCGAAATGTTTCACATGTATGTTAGTAAGTTCACTTTGTCCGCAAGAAACAAGAGGTGAGGTTTTGGAAAACCGATTATTTTGCAACGAGTATTTCACGTTCAAAACCGTTACCAACAAACTTTTTGAAAATCTGGTTCATCGAGCATTGTTGGCCAAAAGTGAGTGACGACGCATCCAAGACCGACATAGTTTGCGCGCTTGAAACAATGTGCTCATGTTATTTATAGATGTTCAGTTTGAACAGAAAAGCGAAGACTGCAAGACGGTTTCCCGAGGTGCATCAGAAAGCATAAGCATAAAATAAAACCTTCTGTCGCAGAGACAACCTGTATCAGGTTTCTGACTTAGCACCAAAATCGCTAGAGAGGCTCAATAGCGTGCCTAATCCGTGGAACTCAGAGTGTTGACATAATGAACAAAGACCAATATTGCAAATTTAATTCTAATCGGATGTAGCCGAGTGCACGCTAGGGGTGATAGCCTTGAGCGTCATACAAGGTGAACTATGAGTGAACTGAAAGATTTAGTGGAACAGTTCTATGATAATATTATTTTAATGATTTAATAGTTAAATTTAGGCCCACGTTGCATGTGTGATTTACCTTGGCAATGGAACCTCCAGCTCATCCATTGTCACCTCACATTTATCTGTCAGTATTGGTGTGAGATATGTGGTATGTATTCAAATTAACTATTGTGCAATAAACCGTTCAGCTGGTAAGCGCTGGACGCATAAGAACAAATCAACAACGTCGGCTCGTCTAATGTGGAAATTTTGTGACTGGAGTCAACCAGGCAGTACCGATGCTTCCTAATTTGATAAAATAGAAATGTTTGACTTTTCCTCAAAGCAATATCTGAAAACAGATGAACTGACAATGTAATTCGGTCACAGTTTGACTAGGGTTGGCACAGAGTAAACACAAATTACCTCCCCGCACTGAGTTAGAAGTTAAGAACCAGGACAAATGTTGAGTCTAGCGCACTCCGAGATTACATTTGACGAGTGTGTGTGGTGATCAAATTGAAGGAATGAGTAGTTGAAATCAAAAAATGCCAAATAACAATTTAGATTTTAAAAGTATATATAGGCGTTTCTCCCTGCACCACAACGATCGATGGAGTCGAAATCGTTCACTATTTACCAGTCAAAAAGAAATGCAAACAAATGGACACTCATTTATAGCCTATCGCGAACCGTCTAGGGTGCGACTAACGATGGTCTGCAGTAGTGGATTGCCAATCAGTAAAAGAATGTATTTTTTTCATGATGTCACCACGGCCAATTTCTTTCCTCAAAATCTAATAAAGTGATCAAAATTGACCTCATTACTTAATGGATTTTAAACGTTTTTTTCCCGGTTTATCGCAAAATTTGCTGCAATAATTAGGAAGTTATACCACGCTAGACAATCACAGCCAGTAATAACTCAGAAGATATTCGACATTGCTCTTCGATCAGAAAAGATTCTATACCCAACAGATTTCAGTTCCTTTTTCATTTATTCAAATGTCAATGCAAGTCTTTGCACACGGAATTGCTTTTGTCAGAATGTTTCCTGTATGTTTTGCGGCAATTTGCTCGGGGAAACATTATGTCTACAGAATTACGATAGTGAGTTCGCACGCTCATTTTCATTATGAGGAACGACAGCTTCATCGGGGAGTATGTTTCCGTCGAGCCGATGCGGCCTAAATGACTCCGTTTAGATTGTTCGGTTATTCAAATAAAAACAATAATTTTTGTAAGTGCATCCTGCAGGAGAATATACCCTTATGTTTTCGCTAGTGGCCAAGTGTTAAAAAAACGCTCTTCAAATAAGTCTTACGCCTGACGTTATCACAATCATTTTCATATACAACTGCCGAATCCCTTATTGCGAGCTAAACAATCATGTTACTAATCCTGCTTTTTACCACTTATTGCGGTGATACGCAAGATACAGTAAAGACTGGTTTATATTTGTACACCTGTATTAAACTGTATCACTTCACGTCAGTACCCACATGTCCAAATCATAGCGGAGTTCATTTCAGCTTACACTCACGTATCGTTATCATTCAGTTCCACATGTTTTTCGCATACTGGTCATGATTGGGATCTTATTTAATACAAAATTTCCTCCATGTATTCGATGAGCAATGTTTTAGCATTCAGACTTTGCTACCCCAGGAACATCGGCCTCCGAAGACGCTCGCACTAAATCCGGTCCTTCACGAATTGTATGGGCTAACCTGTCATTTCAAATCCGTGTACATTGTACCACCCCTTTACTCAAAGAAACTGTGAACTACATGCAAATTGTCAATCCACAGCCTAGTAGGAGTTTTACAAGTTGTACATGATTGGCTAGACGGATTAAATTGGAGTGAAGTGATTTTCAGTTGGGTACCCCGTTGTTGTTGTCGGGTCCAAATGAAATGACTGACTAACATTGAGGACGACACCTGAACAATTATGAGTTGGCAATTCGGTTGAACCCTGGTGTAAGCTGGTTGACACGATGAAAACACGAACGACATCCCGGCAATGCGTCCAAAAGTTGAGACCCTGGACAGGACGATGAACAAGCACTAAAAATACGCTCTAAAACGAGCAAACCTTGATTCACATGCTTCCGAGTGTATGGCTGACTGGGTGAACTGAGTGTCTTTCCTTCAAGGTTAAGTCCGAAAAGCAGTCAGTTAAAATTGAAATACAATTTGATTTAGGAAAGGAGGGCAATGGTTATTTCACCGATACCGGAGCGACATTGCAAACATTGACTAATCGATTAGATATGATTGTGTGCAAATATTGCCCACACCTTGTTTTTGTTGAAGGGCTGATCTTCATATGGATTCATTAGGTCAACGAGTAATGCGCTTACCTTGAAGCTTGATACGGTCATCCGCGTCGTCATGACGTGATTTTGGAGTTAGTTGTGTTGAACCAAGTTAATAGGTAGTCTCTGTCTTCTGCAATGTTAGATCATAATCATGTTATGAACACTCATACTTCTGACGTCTGTGTTCACATTTGTGACAAGAAAACATCGTTCTTAATGATATATCATCGTCGGATAGGTAATTGTTTTTGTCATCCTGAAGAAGCTGCATTAATAACGCTCAACTTGCGTGAGTTATTTAGCCTAGTATTTCTGAAAAGTAAACCTTTCAAATTTATTGTTTGCTTTTGGTAGTGCATTTGTGAACTCAAAATTCGGGATTTTGAAAACTGCGTTGTTCGATGACACAGTAGTGTTTCAAGTTTAATTTCAGGTTACCCAAATACCCTTCTTCAAATAAGAAACAAAGCGCACTGCGGGTAAATCTCATTCCAATTAATTCAATAAACTTCATTACATTATAAGCACAACGGCATTATGATGCTGAATATTGAAGATATAAGATCCTGACGCAACCTTCTTTAGCATTCATTGTGCGGCGATGGATGATTGNAAAGTGTATCCTTTATAAACAGATATTCGTACTTACATGATACAACATCCGTCGGGTAAGTTTACCCTGAGTCACCACACATTGCGAAATATCAAGGGGGCAGGTAATATATTCATTCAGATGGGTCCTGAATTTATTTAATGGCATTTCACAAACGGTTAACTTAATGCAGAGTGAAAATAAGGATAAAAACGATCGGAATGTGGGTTACTTCCTCGCTGAATTAAATCATGATAATGGGTAATCTGGTGATTTTCCTTTTGGTATTTTCATAGTCCGTACCCTGAAATTTACCTCCTTCTTTTATTACTTCTAAATCTTCGATTCCTCTATATCTTTCAGCAATATGGACACAAATAAGCCCCTACCGCGTTTGATATAGTCGATGACCTTGCTCTGATCATACATTTGCAAAATAACTTATCTGTGATTTACAAAGACGCTATATTCTTAGCAGCCCCAGGATTCGTTGGCCTTTAACCCCACAGTTGAGATATATGAATCTTCACCATGAATCGCTGACTTCATTGAAAAACCTTCACCCTCAAATGGCTCTCAATCGAGTTTTTGGTGACAGGCTTTTGACAAACAGTTCACGTTTCACAAACCACGTGTTCCACGTATTGGATTTAAATTTCACTTGGTAACTGTTAAACGTCATTCAGTGTTCGTGACGTCATCCTGAGAGTATTCGTAATTCAATTAGACATATCACTAAGTTCCGCAACAAAATTCATTCACTTTCCACTGTTGATGGTTCGCATTTCATCTCACACCCCTAATCACATGTTGCAACGTACATCTGATGATTATTTTTTAAATTATCTTGACCCCGTCCTAGGTAATATCATTCAAATTCATGATTAGATCCTCTGTAATCGGATGTTTATATGTTGAATAATGTCTCGATATAGGGCAGTTGCACATAAATAACAAATCTAAATGTTTTGTGACCAACAATTTAATAGTTTAATAGTCTTAATTACATTGGTACTGTAAAAGTTCGACCAGTCTCAAACTGACAACATTACAATCGTCCTTTCGGAGCCATTTCGATACGGAGGCTGTCATAAAGAAGCAGATGTTGGATTATCTTTACGGTAAATGATGTTTGAAATAACATTACATATTGAAATCCGGCGTTCACCAAGAAAGCAACCCGAGGATGGGATATAATCAGTATGTTTTGTGTACTTCATTGAACTGTTGGCAATCAGGACTTTCGATGGATTTGAAAAATTAGCACATGCTCGGTTGCGGCCGAAGTAATTTGTTTCAGTATTACATTATTGAGTAGCTGCGCTACGCAGAGATTACTGATTCCCTTTCTTCGAAGGACGTCATAAGCGGTAGAACAATTTCATTCGGTTCCACATAGCCGGAGTTCTGAAACTGTAGCAGCTGCAAACACTGAATCAAATAATGCTGTTCAAAGTGAGCTGATCAACATTGTCTCTTACAATGTGACTAACAGATTTACGGTAAACTAGGATCCTTAATTTATGTGAAGTTTCACCTGGTTCTGCACACATTCTGATAAAGCTGTAATTCGGAAATGAATGTATACATGCAAGCACATTGTTATGAAATTCTTTTATACGTTCATATAATGTACACCAGGTTGGTGCAGAGTGTATTATGTGCAGAAGATGGAGTCCATACACATTAATAAAATATCGGGTCATTAAGTGCAACTTGCAGGTGTATATTCCGTGTTTATTTCGAATTAAATGATCAAGCACAGCTTATTAACTGGGTCTTCATGTTCGAACGGTGTGCGAACTATTTAATTTGGTTATCCCAAGCATGGAATTTCAAAGTTTAGCGATTTTCTGTTGATGTCTGTCTGCAGGTGTATCCTCCGCACCTAGAGCATTATATATCACAAAAGAAAACTGCACACTGCGCATGGCAGTTTTCAGCTTCCTTTTTTAAATGTAAAGAGTTACTTTACCAAAACGGATGCACGTCAATAGTAAAATATCTGTATTTAATAACGTTGTGCAAATGCTCATAGAAAGTTCTGAACTTTTTGTATCGCGGTTTGTAACACGCGATTTCCTGTTTCAGCGATTACTCGGAAATACGAAAAAATACGCTCCAAATCTGTTCTGTATCCCATTTTATGTCTCGTACATAAACATTGCTAAAGTTGCATAGTGGGCATTTGGAGATTCGTATTACGCAAATCATGGGTAGATTTGCGCACATCAAAAGCATTCTCGATACGTTTTAGAATCCTAGTAGTCACCCTCTCAATGTTGTATGTGATCGGGTATTCCACTAAGTGCTCTGCGTTCTTCGCCAAAATTCAATTATCTTACATACAATCGATGTTTTTCAATTCGTTTTTGACAGTTCTTTCGCATTTGAAGTTGGGAAACTCCACTCAATGAGCACATTTACTCGAAACGGGTTTTGCCTATAGATCCCAAGTCACGCATTGTGTGTACCTGGCAATTGGGGAATATCCATTTAATTGGTGAACAAACTCAACCATCCGAGGATATTGGAAATAAAGTATAATTCGATTGTGAAAACGAAATGAAACCGAGTCCAAACATAAATGCAGCAGCGCGGAACCGTAAACTATAAAATGGTTTCTTTTTATGTAAAACCTTGTTATTATTTGTGGCGCTGGATTAATGAATTTTGCTTCCGATTAGTGTATATACACATGATGTCTACAGTAGTATGTTTGGTAGTTGGATTTTACAATCTGTTTTGCGTACAGCTCTACTAAATAAGTGAACATTTCAATGCGGTTCACTGGCTCCACCGTTGTACGACAAATCCCAGAACACGGAATAAATCTCGTTAAAGATCAAATATTTATGGTTCTTTAAAGTGGTAATTATCGATCACTTTGGGCGAGAAAAAATGTAAACACCCAAATAACGGCATACATCTCAGTGCTATGCAACGCAAATTCTTTTTGCACCGCGGGGTGCTGTTTGGTCTCGAATCAATCTCCGATATGGCAGATCTGTCCTTCCTACCCTATTTCAAGTAAGTATTTATCAGAATATGATGAACATTTCAGATTTCAATTTGTTTGGCTTATTGAGATCACGTTTTTTTCATTCCTTCTCTGAATTTTCATGTGGATAAGGATCAACGGTGATCAATGTATACTACCACTTCATCGATTGCTGATAGAATTCTGATAATACTCTATATCTAGATGTTTTAGCGCACCACCTCCTACTGATTATAGATAATATAAAACTATCTAACAGTGAAACGAAGATTTTGCACACTGTTTATCTGCAATGGTATCCACATACCTGCTCTCGGATACCTGTGGTGAATATGTTCTCTCCCAAACAAAGTGGTTAAAAATAATAGGTTCCATTAACTAACTTAATGTCTGGGTCTTTAAATATTACCGAAACCACGGTGAGCAAGTATAGAAGAGAAACCTCTCAGAATTATCGACCATGTATGTAAAATTTTGAATTCAGAACCTTTGATGGCAATGGTTTTGTTGAGAACCAAAGATGTCAGGAATGGATGAAAAGCTGAACGGCGGTAATGACTTCATCACATAATGCAGTGGAGAATCTTCCGCCGATGCAAAGAACGCTGTTGAACTCAAAAACTTATGCACAATACTGAACTGACCAGTAGTTTCAGAAGAAAGATAATCTTATCTACCAGTTATCTGGTCATCATAAGATAGCTCGTCGCTCAATCATTTTTATCAAAAGGTAAACGCTAATCTGCACATTGATTATGCCTTATTTTAAACACTTCCCCATATCAGGGAATATTAGTTGTAATGTCCAGTTTATAAAGTGATGACGTAAGTGTTGTTCTGTTTTGTAAAAAGTCGAAAGTTAGTTTACTTGAGATTGATGGCGAATTTGCTGTTGTTATAATTTCGTTATCTGAGTATGCTGATGGGTAAAGTAATACCAGTTTCCCGAGATATACGATTTTACATCTTGTTTTAAAGGCCCGTTTTATCAGGGAAATGATGAAGGAGCTGATAGATCGGTTTAAACAAGGTGACCCACTGCCATATCTAAGTTGATTAGTAAATTTTCGGCAAATTTTGATTTATTGGCAAATGACGATAAGTGAGAGACCTGTTGAATGACAAATATGTTGTTCCCTCGTTGCGTGCATTTCCGAGTTGCCATCGCGCTTCCAGTGTTGTTTTCATTGTGAGTTATTTGCAGGATGACCTTGTATGCTATTAACATAGACTCCCTCGGTCCATGTATTTTGTAGTTACATGTATCTAATAACAAATCGTTACTACCGTTTTTCTTCATTTTGAATCACAGCGTGTCTTCATATCTATGACTAGTTCCGTGTATGTCCTATTGCACTTCACGTGCGATGTCTTTTATTGCGTATCCTGCTTGGGTCCGTTTTATGAATCTGTGATACACTGGAACGCAGATATTTCGAAATCATACGTCTTCAGCTCTAGTAACTGACAAGCCTACAAGCTGCAACAAGCTGCAAGCCTACGGAAGCACTAGCTGGCTTTGTCCCAAATCTGGAATAAATGGTCATAGAAACCAATAGGGCAGATACAAGCAAATGTACATAAGTGCATTTTCATACATAGATCTGGATTCGATCGCCTACGCATGTGAAACGTGATTTGGTAATTGAGCATCTCATAAAGTAATTGCAATATGCTTGTATGAGTTTGCAGAATTATTGGTTTGTGTCTCTTCCTATTTGTACTGCTCTGTTGCGTCAATTTTTAGGGGGTGTTCAATGATCATCTCTGCGTAACACCGAGAAAAACGTAAAGTGAGTGTTTAACACCATGATCTGAAATTTGAATCGGGAGAAATAATTGAACATTTTAGAACATTTCCGCATTTGAACAAGATTATGAAAACAATCTGTGCGACATATGTCAAAATACCTTTTTTCAGTGATTACGCCGTGGCAGCTCGCCTCGTAAAACAACAGTTACCAGAGAATTATGTTGTATTTAAAACATTTTTTGGAATTTATGTCATGAAAATAAGAGTAAGGTTATGAAAAGAAGCAATTCACAGGTTATCATTGAACGTTCTTTTTGCTCAAATTTGGACCATTTCTGAAAAGAAGAGTGGATGGAATAAGAAGTATCGGCTTTCTTTTTTAATTGCATTTAATAACCAAATTCCGTCAGCAATTTTCAAATACGGAATCCTTGAACGTGCCGCCAATAATAATAATAAGATCAACTTAATGAACGGGAAAAAATGCAGAAATTCAACACATCAACTAGAAAACATCCTTCGTTCAGAGGCTGGCATAATATGCAGATGCAAGTTTGTATGTACTTACCACAGGCTGCTCTGGATAAGGTAAGGGATTGCTCCGATAAACAATAAAGCAAAGGGTACGCGTTGACTGACACCATCTGTTGGTAAGGCACAAAATGAATGGAATGAAACGTGAATAGATCAGAAATGAAGTATTGTTTGCATTTACAAATCGAAAATTACAAATAATGAATGAACGCATCATATGATTTTACGAAATAAAATATTCGGTAAAATGAAACACCACGCATATAGTGTCTTACGCGATTTGTAGTAGACTAAGATAGTTTGTCCTTCATTTAATGTTGACGCAGCGTCCCTTCGAGCACGCAACAATTTACCAGCTCCAGCATTTGTCCCTGCAGATGCCGTCGGGGATTCTGTCGTTGTCGATGCTGTAGTTTGCGATGCTGTGGTTGGCGATGCTGTAGTTGACGATACTGTAGTTGACGATTCTGTGGTTGGGGACGCTGTGGTGGTCGATGCTGTGGTAAGCGATGATGTTGTTGACGATTCGGTGGTTGACGATACTGTGGTTGACGATTCTGTGGTTGGGGTTGCTGTGGTTTGGGATGCTGTGGTTGGCGATGATGTTGTTGACGATACTGTGGTTGACGATACTGTGGTTGGGGTTGCTGTGGTTTGGGATGCCGTGCTTGGGGATGATGTTGTTGACGATACTGTGGTTGACGATTCTGTGGTTGGGGACGCTGTGGTGGTCGATGCTGTGGTTAGCGATGATGTTGTTGACGATTCGGTGGTTGACGATACTGTGGTTGACGATTCTGTGGTTGGTGATGCTGTGGTTGGAGATGCTGTGGTTGGCGATGTTGTTGTTGACGATACTGTGGTAGACGATTCTGTGGTTGGTGATGCTGTGGTTGGAGATGCTGTGGTTGACGGTGCTTTGCTTGAAGCCGTAGTTGATGTCGATCCGGCGGTTGAGTCGCCAGCCGTTGACGATACTGCACTCACCTGGACTGCCTGCTGTGACGAAAAGAAATTCCCGGAGTCCGTTGCACAGATTGTTTTGGTATCTGACCCACTGACAAGTTGGAGGCACTTACTCTCACCACCCTAGTAGGGGAACACGATAAAAATGCATATCAGATCAGTCAAAAGATATCAGTGGTTTATAATGTTCTAACGTGGCACACAATCAATATTGTCAACTCACCGATTCCGGCTTCAGGTAGATGTCTACATTCTGATTGTCAGTTGGTTCAACAAGTAATTGACAGCCTTCTTTTCCCAAGACGATAGGGAAATGTTTTTCCTCCATCGAAGCCTTGTCGGTTTCAGTGCACTCCGCGGATTGACCGACTGAAAAAAAACCGTGTTCCAGAAATTACAGGTTTCATAGCTTACCGACCAATCCGCAAATGCAGATGATCAGGATAAGGAAACCGCCAGTGATTGAATTCATTCGTCCAGTAACTGACTCGTTTGCGCAAATTACTGCTTTTATACTGTAGGTTTCCGAGGGAACGTATCAACCAATTCAATCACAGAATTCATATTAATAAATTCACATGATGTTCTCACTTGAACATGCTTGAGGTGAAGTTGTGATACACATTCAGGATATTCCTCACCATCATTGAAGCGCGTGGGCGTCAGAACAATTGCAGTCGTTATCAACCTAAATTATGAAGCGGTGCATGGTACTCATAGCCCCATGTTTCAAACAGCTTCTAGCTCACGTCAAGCAGAACGTTTTACAATGACTCATTAGTAAGAATATGAAAACACTATGCTGTTATTTTGGTAACATATTTGTCACAGTGCTGAAGCAACAGCATTGAGGATGATGGATGATGCATTTCAGATTTACCAGATCTAAATAGATTTGCAGCACGTGACCCAAACCACATCTAAAAACTATAATTCAAAACATTGGTTACAATGACTTTTCGTTGCATGCCAAATCTGACATTGCACAATGGATCGGAACCGACATTTCTTTGAGGAACATGATCAAAGGCGGACTCCATAAAAAGCAATGTCACCCATTGTTTCGGATCGAACTATTGGTACTGTTCGCACATTGTCAAGCTGCCTACTCAATGTATCACTGATACATTTCAATCAAATTGATAGCAGGTAAAAGGAAATTCAAGGAAATTGATCGGAGCCCATCGAGCAAATAGGCGCGAAGTTTTCAGCTTTGTGTAAAATCCACGCATCCTATATTTGGAGACTAATGAATATGCCATCCGTTGGTGAAAATTACAAGACAATACGTCATCGAACAACTGATTACATTGTGGATACCACTCAAGTCTGTTTCACAATTATGAGCAAACGCAAGCACCATTGAATGGATATGAAATACGCAATTCGCCATCGTTGCCACAGTGGAAATTAGTGTCAACGGTCAAACACCAGGTTGATCAAAAGGAGTTATTTTGAATAATATCTTGCGCGGGCAGCTGGAATCAGACNAACTGAGAATGTACAGGATACTCCCATTTCATCAGTAGTGTTTCACCTACAGCATGACGAGTTAGGAGGTAAACTGAGGGAATAGAACAGATTTTGTATATAACAAATCACATTGATAATAATTAGGATGTAAAGTTTATGTACACTGGAAGTCAATTGGTCTACCCTTGTTCCTTAGGACTTTCTTGAGGTTTCTTGGGCATGGAATCAACCAACTTTGTTATGAAGTCATTTTCGATTGTGTGCTCCATTGCGTTTCAGAAAGGGGATACGTCAATTCTCTCAGATAAATTAGGGAAGCTGAAGCATTTACGTTGAAGCAAGGTAAGGGTATTTCAAAACTCAAATACTTTCAGAAGATGATATTTCCATCATTTGCTATCAAACTTGAAATGCTTCGACTGAACCACATATGCATGTGCAAATTTCCGCACAGAAACCTGGGAAACCATCAAGAAAATAAGTGTTGATCAAAAGGGAGTTATTTTGAATAATATCTTGCGCGGGCAGCTGGAATCAGACGATTTTATAGTGAAATGTTATGTGGACAGTACGTTGATGACAGGTCCTTGAATATGGTCAAGTCGTGGAGAGTGAGGTGGAGCCCGGTGCTCTAGTCGAATAGTTATCTCTCCTTCATTACCTTGATCCCTTCGAAATTGATTTTGAACAGTTAATGCCTGTATACAAGCAACTATTTAAAGTGATCTTCACAACATCTGTTCTAAAGATTCTTAGACTATTTTGCAGTTTATTTAACCGGAAATGAGTTGACCATGCGCCACATTTATTCGTCAATAATGATAGATATAAAAATCACTGAATGCTGAACGAGTGAATCCGCAGCAACTGGAGACCGGTTTGTTGTTGGAACAAATTTGGTCATCGATTGATCGGGTTAAATATGAATGTACATGCTACCTGAAATCATCATATCACGGTTTTGGAGAAATTGCTTCGTTCTAGACAGTAACTGGGGGATAACGAATGACGGCTATCCAACTCATTGAAAATGAAATTTCCGAAAATGAAATAATATCGTTTTGCGTCGAAGTAATAAAACGATTATTGTCAGGGTACATTATCGATTATCGAACAAGGATTCACCTGGTATTGGTAACTTCGTGAGTTTGATAAATATGGTATACACTTATTGACGGTAAAACAAAACTCAATCTATTTCGATATAGTTAGATTATTGACGAAAAGTTTTACTTTGTCTGGTTATATGCAGTTCAATGCTGATTTTCCATCCGCGTGGTCCTTTGCTACTTAAGGTTGTACTTTTGTTTATCCGTGTCAAACTGATAGCTTTTCTAAAACAGTTTTCATGGTCAACAGAGCAAATATTTCATGTGTGGAAGAAAAGCATCATATCGCACGGCAAGACTCGCGCTTTCACTTGATACATGGTCACATAAAACCTGATCACCTAAAATCTTCACATCATCGTCAGGTTACACTAACTTGTGAACATCCGCATGGTAACCAAGGCGCTCCAGAACAACGCTGAACCTACAGCAATCCATCGATCTAATGGGACAGTCATCCCACGGTTACGGCAACCATGGACACTCGTGCACACAAATGTCGACCGACAATCCACACTTTTTGATCTAAAAGTCAAACCAATATCACTCGTCCCAGCCACCGGTCGAACGATCACCAACACACAAGTATGCTCAAACCACATCTGACTTCTACACAATATCGTCATCCCATTAACTTATAATTGTCTCTAATGTGAGATTAACCGATTCAACGACTTGACAAAAGCCTTCCGAGAGAATCAAAACGTATTCATCGACGTCTTGTATCTTTTTGCACGTCGTGGCTAGGGCAAGCTAATTTCCTCAACAATCGTGAGCATGACGCTCAAGTGTTCAAGTGAGATCCGTTCCGTCCATGGATCTCGTGCGAGTTACGACGTATATTTTCTTAGGGTTCACTTTGTAGAAATGCAACTTGATTGGTTTTAATCCGGAATAATAAAACTTTTAACTGCGTATTCTGTGTGGCTGTAACATGCTTTGATGTATTCTTCTTAGGATAATTCCAACCAGCATGCAATTGATTCAAGCAGCCGGCACGGAATATTACATACGATATCTTTGTGGGATTACCTTCTGGTACCCGAACTAACACGCACCGAAAAGGACCTGCAGATGTGTGCCTTCTATTGAAAAGTAGCGGATACCGCGATATCCTTTGTCACCGGGTGCCAGGAAGAAAATCATGCGTTTTGAAATGTAGATTTTTCCAAAACAGCATCAGGAGGATGAAACGTATGCGATATATTTTACACATTAAATCTGTTTGTGGAACATGAGCAGATATATATATACTTGTAATATAAAATATAATCTGTATAAATATAATAATATTTTATAAACATCCCGGAAGGTAAATCTGGAGCAAGATCGTGCCAAAGTGCAACCAATATAAAAGCACAAATACAACAGAATTGCGGGAAGAAAGCACAAAACAAATCATTCACGATGTGAATGAGTTGAGTTCAGAAATGTTATCGGTTGCCAAGAAATTGGGAGGAATAAAACACCCACGTTATAAAGATCAGCGTGTTACACATAAGAAGGGTTCTTCATGACTTTGTCAATAACAAAAGACATGATTTGAAGGTTTTGAAACTATAGAGTGAAAGATAATTCCATGGGAGATCCCGTTACTTTTGGCTGAATATGAACAGGATCTAAAAGAAACGTGAAGTTCCCCTTCAGCATACTTAGGATAACTTCAAGAGAATCCGTACAGAAAAAAAGGTAAAAGGAAAACAGCGGATCACGAATCAACAACCTCATCAAGTATTTAGGCATAGGGCATAAAATGACAATTTCTGACCTTTCAAAATACAGAAAGAACATGGTCAGACCAGCGAAAATTCCCACTGATGAATACAGAGAGATACATAAAATTTACGGTTCGGAAATTTTTATCACCACAAATGTTTATTATGGGACAGTTTTTGCGAGACATGTGCATCACTTTTCCCTCTGAGAAGTGAGGACACCATTTCTACGCGTTCAGAGGTATTCAGTGATAAGTTATGTGCAGCGGATCACAAGCAAGTTAAGAATAGATTAGTTGAAAGTGGAGGTGTCTATCGCATCAGGGTGGGCTATTCCAACCACAACGTCGTCTATGTAATTATTAGGCACGGACTTTTGAAAAGGGAATTATAGGTAGATGTTAAGTGAAAAATAAAAATGGGTAGAGAATGGCACTTTCTGGTACGCCTTGTGTAGAAATTAATGGCGAGGAGGAACTACCAAGGTAACCTGTGAACAGAGAATACTTACTTTGAGTATCACAGGTACGGTATGAGATATCCAACTGGAAGAAAAATTATTTTTCAACTTGAACCTATCACCTCAATTGAAAGCGTAGCTAATCCAAGAAACTTTCGGACGACTATCTGACAATGTTCGAGTGCTGATAGAATATAGCTGACCAGATGAAATAGGACATCAATTTTGAGCAAACGCTGTGGTTCTGAAATTGCTTAAGTTCATGTACATTCAGAAGAGATGATATTTGTTTGAAGGAGCAACATCTCGAAACGCTTCTACACAACAGACGTTAATCCCAACGGGTGGATATTTGAAGTTACCGTCTTAG